TAAACAGGGGAATCTCACAGGACATAGACCTTCCCCTACCCAGAGCTCAGAAGGTCAAAGTGGGACCCCCAAACTGTGATCACTACAATAGTAATTTAATGCTGAGTTGGATAAACTGCTTGCATGAACTTTTTGCTTGAAACTGCATGGTCAGATGTGGCCTTTCCTCTTTTGTTCTCTCACAGATGTGAATAGTAATTTATAAGAAACAACCTCTAATATTTTTCTAAATAGGTCTTTGTGGGAATTTCAATGGGGTGGAAGGTGATGACTTTAAAACAGTCAGTGGACTGATAGAAGCTACAGGCTCTGCTTTTGCCAACACCTGGAAAGCACAACCTACTTGTAATGACAAAGTGGATCGGTTGGAAGACCCTTGCAGTCTCAGCATTGAAAGTGGTAAGGATGCTAAGAATTCCTCAATCTTTTATTTATTACACTTGGTTGAACTACTAACAGTCTGTATAGAGAACTAATATTTATTTAGGGGGCTGATATAAGGATTGTGTGCAATATGATGAGCTTGTCTATGTCTCCTGACTGTTGCTTTCCATTTGAATAGATGGAAAGTTCACAGGGAAATTATAGAGGTCAGGCTGTTCTGAAAGACACAGAAGGGAGATTTTTTATTTACTGTAATATTTGTCTAGATCAGCAGTACACATTCCTCATTATTACTGCTGCTTTTTAAACTCAATCTTATTTTCTGGTTATCTGATATGGGGGTCTTGGACAATCATGGACTTCAGCAAGGCAAGTCTCTTTAGATTTTCTGGAGTTATAGGATATTATTTTAAAAGTGTGCATGCCACAAAATTTGTATCAGGCACAGTAGTCAACTTTATGATGATTCTGTATTACTTCTTCACTCCAAACATGTTTACGGTTTTTATTTTGTATCTTATTTTGGAGACATATTCGTTTTATAACATAATGTGACCATGTAATACAACAAGGAGTAGTGCAAAGAAGGTAATCTGATGTGGCAACTGTTCTTACATAATTCCTTATCTGTCCTTCTTTTATTATAGAATCTTATGCTGATCAGTGGTGTTCTTTATTGAAAAAACCAGAGAGTCCTTTTGCTAAATGTTATTCAGTCATCGATCCTTCAGAATATTATAAGGTAGGGATTTTTATGCTATACTGACACCTTCTGGTGCCAGTCTAATTCAGACAGGCTTTTATCATGTACGTATTTTGCAGGGATTATTGAATAAATTGGGTATAAAAGTGGATACAGATCTACAATGATTAACTGTGTGATTGCACTGTCCGCACCTGATACTCTTACAGTGGGCTTTTTTATTGAGTGTTATTTTAGAAAAGGGAGGGTATTTATTTTGCTTTGCTTTATGTTCAAAGGACTGTGCAAATTTTCCTTCGTGAATTCAAAAGAGACAGAAATATGAAGCCATAATGTGCATTTGTTTCACCAAGAGTAAAACATTATTTTAATGCAATATAGTTTTCTGTCTTAATACACAATCTATTTTGCTTCCTTGCTCTTGGGATTAACATCAGGCAATTGGCACACCATGTATTCATGGTCCATCACCTCCTGTTGACAACCATGTAGAGCAGTGACATTCAGAGCAATCTGGAGAGAAAAGAAAGAAACTCATAAAACTTTTTCCTTTTTTAGAAACTAAGCTGAACTTTTGTAAACATCTTGACACATTCAGTTAACTGTTTGCTGTTGTTGTTTTTCATTTTCCTGGATCTCTGAACATCTCAGTTGTGACCATTAAAAGTATTTGAGCCCCTAAAACAGCCTGTACAAGTGGCTAACTTTCAGAGTCAAAAGTTTGGCTGTTTGGATTGGATCCAGGTTTTTTTTTCTTATTTGACCAAATGGAAATAGGATGATGTACCATCTGTGCTTTCTCCATCTATTCTCAGTTCATTCATTTGTGCTCTCTAATTGTGGGAGTGAGTGTAAGCCACATAAAATAAAGTCCTAGACATCTCTCAGTTACCCTATTAGAGGTCCAGATTTTTAATCATTGTCCTGAAAGGCTTGTTTACAGTTTGTTCTTATTTGTCTCAGAGATGCAAGTATGACACCTGCAGCTGTAAGAAAAATGAAGACTGCTTATGTGCTGCCCTCTCCTCGTATGCCAGGGCCTGTGCCTCCAAAAGAGTTATGCTGTGGGGCTGGAGACAAACTGTCTGCAGTAAGTGCTGAAACTGTAATTGCCTTGAAATCAACCACAGGGAATGGGACAGGGTGCCTGTTGGTACATTTACATTAATCCCTTTGAGCTAGGAGAGTCTTAAGAGATGTCTAAGACATTTTAAGGAGAATACATGAAAATAATTATATTTAATAACATAATCTTTAAGTCTCCTTTGTTAATAAGGCCATTTTACAAGCTGGGGAAAATATTTCCTGACCACAAGGCCACTGGTTAGCCATTGAGCAAAACACCTGCTGTACCACACAAAAGACTTGGCCCACTGAGAGGCTCAGAGGGCGTCTACACATGTGCTTTACTGCCAAGTTGACTAATTAGCTCTCCACTCAAGTGTCACTTTGCATATCTACATGTGCTATTAATGCTATAAAAGCTTAGTATTTTCCTGTGCAGTATGCCTACCCTGGGAGCATGTCTATATGTGCTTCCTGTTGGGAGCAGCCTGGTACAAGGCTGCTCCTATGCTGCTTTGGGTCCCTCAAGCAGCCAGGGGGATTTCCAGGCTCCCCTGAGTGCTAGCCCAGGGGCTGGCAGGGAGCATGAGGACCAGTCCTCGTGTGCATGGGGCCAGGCAGCAGCCATCTCCTGGCCCCAGAAGACAGAGGGGTCCTGATGTGCATGGGGTTGGGAGACAGCTGCCTCTCCGGAGCTCTCCCAGCCCTGTGCACATGGGAACAAGTCCTGTGCCCAGTGGGGCTTCCCTGTGCAGCTAGGGGCTGGCTGAGGCTGCCCCACTTCTGACGCAGCTCCCAGCAAGCCCCCAGCTGTGTGGGGAAATCCCCACCCAACCAGGGGCTTGCAGGGAGCTGGCCCACAAGCAGGATAGCTGCTGGCTAGTCCCCAGCAGGGTGGGGAAGCAGAGAGCTTCCCAGTCCCAGTGCTGTTTAGCTCCTAGATCCTGTGGGTAAGAATTTCCCCACCCAACCAGGGGCTGGTTGGGAGGTGCCCCAGAAGCAGGACGGTTCCCAGCCAGTCCCTAGCTTCTCAGGGATTTTCCTGCCTAGCTGGGGGCTGGCTGAGGGTTGCCCCAGAAGTGGAAGAGCTCCCAGCCAGCCCCCAGCTGAGTGGGGAAGTAGAAAGTTCCCCAGTCCTGTGGGGAGCCAGGAACTGAGCAGCACTGGGATGCAGGGAGCAGATAGAGAGCTATCCTGTCCTGGCAGTGCTCAGGAGCTGAGCAGTAACAGGACCAGGGGACTTACCCATCCCCTGTGGCTCCTTTGTGTTGGGGCTGACCAGTAAAAAATTTGCTACTGGTCACTGTCTACACATACACTACTGCACAGTAGTGCAGGTAGTTTAGTACCTGTATTTAAAGGTAGTAGCTAACTATGCAGTAGACTAATTTACTGTGCAGTAAATAGTGCACATGTACAGATGGTGATGCTTTACTGAACAGTAGATTAGTCTACTGCACAGTAAAGCATGTCATAGATATGCCCACTGCCTACAAGTACATCCCTCTTAGGCCAAGAAAAACTACTTAAGTCTGCCATAGGATAGTACTGCCTGACACAAGTACTATTCTATGGTGGAGTTATTTACCCTGCTGCAATGCACATGTAGATGATGATTGGGATTGGCTGGGGCACAGGGGTGCTACAGCGTAGGGGCTGCCTGCTGGCTATCCCTGCACTATAGCACTCTCATGCCCTTCTGCAGCACATTGAGTTAGGGTGGAGCAGCTTCAGGCTGTCAGGCTGAACTTCAAGGCCCCCTGCCAGCTGGGGCTGTGCCACCCTAGCTCAACATGCTAAGGTCTCTGGCGTGTGTGTAAAGGCTGAGCCTGGCAGCAGTAAACAGACTATATGAGGAGAGGCTGAAGGACATGGGACTGTTCAGTCTGAAAGAGAGAAGCCTGAGAGGGGACTTGGTGGCAGTCTTTAAGTATATAAGGGGTGAACATCGGGTGCTAGAAGAACATCTGTTCACCAAGGCAACCCAGGGGAAGACTAAGAATAATGGTCATAAACTGATAGAAGATTACTTCAGATTAGACATAAGGGAAAATGTCTTTATAGTTCATGTGTCCAGAGTCTGGAACAGACTCCCCCCAGAGGTGGTACAGTCACTTTCTCTGGAGATTTTCAAAAGATGACTGGACACACACCCTGCTGGAGTTATCTGACCTCAGCAGTCTTTCCTGCCTTAGAGCAGGAGGCCTGGACCTGATGATCTTGTGAGGTCCCTTCCAGCCTCTAACTTCTATGACTACCTTTTAGAAAGTGAATGATATTACTTTTTAGTTTTATACTTCTAAAAAAATTACTTTTATCATTCTAAAAAAAAAGAGTAAAAAACAAAGGTGAAACTAGGAATTAATTAGCATGAAATTTTATATGCAATTGTAGACTACTTTTTTGTTACTGCTGCATATTTCATAGTCAGTGAGCATGTCTACATGAGATGATAATGTGCAGTAGACTAATTCTACTGCACATTAGTATGTCACAGCAAAAGCCATAATAATGAGTTAATGTACAGTAAAATTAATCTCCTGCACATTAGCATCACTTAAAAGGGTACATCAGTGCTACTGTGCAGTAGTGCCAGGTACTATGCACGTAGGTAGTACCTGCCTGGTATTACAGACACTAAACTTAATGTGCAGTAACCACAGAGCATTAATGGCATGTTAGATGTGCCCAGTGTTACTAGAAGAAAAGTTTTTAAGTTTATTAGGTCCAATATTTTCCCTAAATGGCAGATATTTTTTTCCCTTCCAGAAAAAGAAGTTACCTCTTGCCCTGCAAGCCAGATCTTCCACTACAATCTGACTACATGTCAATACACCTGCCGCTCCTTTGCTGATGTCAATAGGCACTGCTCTTATGACTCCTTTCCTGTGGATGGCTGTGGCTGTCCTGATAACACCTACCTGAATGAAAAAAGCGTGTGTGTTCCTATCTCCAAATGCTCATGCTACTATAAGGGAGAATACCTAGAAGCTGGCACTGTTATTTTGAGAAATGAAGATCGCTGGTATGTTGTTATCGAGTTTGGATTGCAGAGATGGAAGCCCCACTTCTCTTTATCTTTGCTTCTTAAGTACACCCTTATACCAAATCTTCTTGCACACAACACACAATTTCCCAGAAAAACAGCTGCTGGAAACTAAAGACAATATTATATATGAGAAATGTAATAAGAACAGTTTCTGCTAGTTATGAGCAAAAGTGAAGGTAAAATCTGCCAATGACTCAGGGAGCAGAACAGTGAGCAGGCTCTGTTCCTTATCTGCTACTACTTACTTACTTACTACATGGAAAGATCTTTCTTTCCTTTCTTTGGCCTTTCAAAAACAAGGTGCATATTATATTTCAGGGCATGTTGAATGCAAGAAAATTCAGTATGAATGTTACTGATGATATACTGATGATAGTACTTTATTAAGGAAGTACTAAACTAAATGCACAGTATCTGAGGTGCATTAATGGACATGTAGATGCACCCACTGTGGAATGAGGAAAGGAAGCTGTGTGAGCAATTAGCAGATTTCCTGCTAAAAATAATTTAGTGAAGCATCATTTTGCAGTGTAACAATTACTATGTTATACTGATTTAATGTAACATGGGGTTCTAAAAGTAAATTATGGGCTGCTACCTGCAATATTCTTTTTCACAAGAGTTCTTGTAAAACTCTTCCTTCCCCAAGTACCCAAAATGTAGTCTTCAGCATCACTCATTAGGAAATCTCACTAAAAATCATGTGGGAATTTAATTTACACAGTAAATTTCATTACTAAGTATCTCTCCCCCAATAAATCACTTGGATACATTTATTACCCTGTCATCTAAGAACATGGCATGGGAATAGGAAGGTTTTGAAAGTCCAAAAGAATAATTGTTTGGTACATGTAGCGATTTAGTGTGTTAATTTCTTTGGCTTTGCAAAGTGCTTTCAGAATTTTACCAATGACCTTATATATACATCTATTAGACTTACAATGAAACCACCTGCTATGATTTGCATATTATGAATTTCTATTTTATCTCACCTTTTTTAGCGTTTGCCGCAATGCCAAGCTCCATTGCACTCAAGTGAAGATCAAAGATGCAAGTAAGTGAAATCCTTGAGAAAAATAATTAGTCTCTAATTTGATTTTCTACTCATTTCAAACCATCACTCCTTTTCAGTTTATTTTTGGTAGAAATGGTTTTCATTGATAATTAGTGTCTATAATAAGTATACATGATCTGCGATTTGTCCCAATATCAGTTGCCACTTTAGTCCTCCTTTACATTTCTTGTCCTGTTCACCCAATCTAACAAAGTATCATTTTTTATAGAGTGTCCTCCTGGCAAGATTCACTTTGACTGCAGCTACATCTCGCCTTGGAGTTCGCAAACCCCACTACAACGTAGCTGTCAAACTCAGAATAGTGACCATGTATGTCTTCATTTTACCTATGACATGACCCTTTTATTCTTATTTTCCATAAATGAAACAGAGTAGCATGAGGCTCTTGAGATAAAAATTTGGATTGAGATTTTTTGTATCCTTTCCTTTCCTTTGCTTTCCTTTAAAACTCATTTTCTTTTTTCCATCATTTTCTTTCTCTTACCATTTTTCTATCTTATTTTTCTGTCTCATTTTATGCATTCATTTTCTATTCACTGACTTCTTTCTTTCTTTTCTTCATTAGGAAAGTCATAAGATGCCTGAATATTTCTGTTATCATCCAGCATGGTGCTTTTCTGTTTAAAACAAAAAAAAGATAATCTGAACTTTTCTTCCTTGTCAAATATCATGGAAATTCTCAGGCAACAAGCTGTTAGCAAGATGAACATTATAGAATAACTAAGAGTGAAATGTGGGGTATTCTGATTGGAGATTAGTAAATATAATACCTATTTTCAAAAAAAAAAAAAAAAAGATGATTCAGAGTTTGTGCCTAGAGCACTT